TTCGGGTTAAGTTAGGGCTTAGAATTAAGGGTCCATTATAGCAGATTTCAGTTATTCAGTCCGAGGTCTCCTGGGTTGTAAACCCTAAACCCTAAACCCTAACAAACCCTAAACCCTAACAAACCCTAAACCCTAACAGACCCTGAATCCTAACAAACCCTAAACCCTAACAAACCTTACGGAGGCTTCTTTTGATGAGAGCTTGAGCTTTCAGAGCTAGGTCGGTGTGAGGATCTGGGGCTAAGGGCTCCACTAAGGGTAGGGTTTAGGGTTTAGGGTTTAGGGTTTAGGGTTAGGGTTTAGGGTTTAGGGTTGAGGTGAATCCCAGAAAAGTTGGAACATTCTTTAGGATGACTAGGTCTGGGATCCCCTAGCCCTACTTGGAGGTTCATGGGTAGTTATAAGCGGGTTTACAAGTAGGGTAACTATAGTTATACCCATCTTAGGGGGTTGATAGCCCTACTTATAACTACCTGTGAACCTCCAAGTACAGTAGAAGCCCAAAAGTTGGAAACCCAATAGCCTCAATCCTTAAGAGTCATATATAGGGAATCCCAGCACTAATTGTCCTTAATCCGGTTTCCAACTTTTTGGGGCTTACTGTAGACCGTAAGGGCATGAGGAGAATGATGTTCCAAGTTGCTGGCTTCGAGTTTAAGGTGTTTGCGTCTTTAAGCTTGGTTGAAGCTCGGGGTTGGATGGTTTGGGGTCTAGGGGTTTAGGTTTAGGGGTTCGGGGATTCGGGTTTAGGGATTTAGGGTTTGGGAGTTTAGGGTTTAGGGTTTAGGGTTTAGGGTTTACGGGGTTTGGGTTGGGGGGCTCCCCGGCTGCTTAGGGCCTAAGCTCACTAGCAGGCTTGAAGGTTTACCCTAAGGTCTTGTAAACCTTCTCCCCGTAAAAAGACAAGCATCCCACCAGAACATTCACAAAGTAAGGATTCTTAACCAGGTCTGCAGCTTACTCGCCCCAAAACCCCCAAACTCAAGCCCCTAAACCCCAAGCCTTAACCCTAATCCTTAAACCATAAAGCCCCTTAAACCTGAAAGCGTGAGCCAAACCCCATAGTAGAAGCCGAAACGTTTGGAAACCCAGTAGCCTTCCCAAAAAGGAACCCCAAACCCTTATAGAACCCCTTTAAGGAGCTTCGAAGCCCACAAGGCCCTAAGGCCCCGGCAATGCGTCCATCCTTGCTGAGCTTGCAGAAGGCCAGGAGCGCGTGCGGCACCGTCGCTTGCCCAGCCTGGCTGTTCCAAGCTGTTTAAAGGATCCTTCTATGAGTTGTAGAAGAGAGTTCCTCTTTAAGTGTACCCTGGGGTTATATAATTCAAGGTTTACGGCTTTCGTCAAGGATCATGGGACTTAGTAACTAGGGTTATTATTGGGGCAACTATACTTGTAATGGCTTCTAACCCCAGTTAGGGTATTCATAACCTTGCTAACTAAGTCCCATGATCCGCCAAGCAGTGCTCAATGGACTTAGGTTCAGGGCTTGAAATTACGGGCGCAGGGTTTAGGGAGTTTAGGGTTTACTAGAGGGGCCGTCATGGTTAGAATAGGGTTTCGGGGGAAATGACAGCCCAACACCCTAAATGAGAAACAGCAACCCCAAGCCATGAACATGCAGTTCCGGGATTCGGTTGATGAGGTTAAGGGTGAAGGCCTTCGCCCCGAGATACCACACAGTCCAGGAAAACTCAAACTAATGATAATGCAAAAACCAGGCCTCAACGCAAGCTCAAGCAGTTCCGAACCTTTGAGACCCAAACCCCCAAACCCCTAAACCCTAAACCCCTAAACCCTAAACCCTAAACCCTGAACATTAAACCCACCTCGAAGCCTTGGCTTCCAGAATCAGAGAACACGTCGCAGTCAATGCCTAAAGGCTCCGGGATTGCGACTTTACCTAAGCCTACCATACCTTAGCTTGTTGCAGGCTCTTCGGATAAACCCTAACACAGAATATGTAGGGACCCGACAGAGAAGGTCGGCTTTTCGGTAGCTTCGAGCAGCTATCCTTCCCTAAACCCTAAACCCTAAACCCTAAACCGCTTCTGTGGGTTCTGCGCGGCCTCATCCATGAGCACCAGATCGAAGGTCAGGTCGGTGAGGATGCCTCTCGGCTTAGGGCTTAGGGCTTGGGGTTTAGGGCTTAGGGTTTAGGGGTTTAGTGGTTAGGGCTTGGGGTTTAGGGTTTAGGGCTTGGGATGTTTGAGGTTTAGGGCTCAGGGTTTCGGGTGCAGTGGCACCTCTTTGATGCTGCAAGCGACGCCGCGAGTGGGCGTGAACTAAACGGCGCGGAAGGGTTGGGGCTTGTGATTCTTGATTAATACGGCTCATTAAGGCTTCACAGAGGTTCTTAAAGTTGTGTAGGGTTCAACAAGTGCTGTCAGAATTCGTGATTCTTGATTAACAAGGCTCATTAAGGCTTCAGAGAGGCTCGTAAAGTTGTGCAGGGTTCAACAAGTGTTGTCAGAAGACAGTTGCACCGGCACCCTGAACAGTGAAAGAACACCTAGCAGCCTAAGATACCCCAAGGCATACAATACATACTCACGACGCGGAATGGTCATCCCCTAAACCCTAAACCCTTAA